AGGTCTACTTTATCTTATAGTAACAGCTCTGCTAGGGCTTTATCCTTATAAAAGGAATCTGTTTCTAGTTGCTAGGTAGGTATTACTAGCTTAATAGATTGCATATGTGTTGCTATTTCTTTAAGTGTGTTATATATAAGGTTCTCTATAAGGTCCTTAATTCTCCTATTAAATACTATATCTTTATTAAATATAAAATCTTAAGTGCTTATTACCTTACTAAGTAATAGTATCTAGATTTAATAGATATTTAATAACTAGTAGCCTACTAGATAGCTAATCTAGGCCTTTAGGTCTAGTTATTAAAGACGTGATTTACCTCTATATATATTATCTATTATAGCAAATACTTTATACCTGTATACTCTTAGGTGTGTAAGGTTAGGTTTTTGTAGTAATATTACTATTCTATTACTAAAGGCAACTTATATAAAGAATATTTTGTATAGTGTTTTCTAATAGTTTGCGTAGTTTGGTGTTTAATTGTAGAGGTATACTGCTGCCCTTGTGATTTCTAGCCACAGTTCCTAGGAGAGGTTAGCATTAAGTTGCATTGCGTGAGCTTTCTCCTTGTTTACACCCCCTGAGCGTTCTGCGTTACTGTTCTGTGCTTGTATGTCTGGTGCTAAAGGCTCTATAATAATTCCTTATGTTGCTAGCTATTTTAATACACCTAGTTTAACTATAGCTATCTTGTTATCTACCTTAATAGTCTTAACTAAGATATTATAGTGATTTTTTAAGAATAGGATAAATATTAATAGTGCCTTAATAATTAACTTTACTATGTAATAATCTGTAAAGTAGAGGTCCTACTATAGGCCTAAGAACCTATTAGTAATAAGTATCTAGCTCTTTTCTTTAGTAACTCCTTATACTTTATAGGAGTAGAAGTTAATGCTAAGTCTTTCTCTAGGTCTGTTATTATTAATTCTTAGTGCGCAGCTAATTTACTATTATAATTTAGCTATTCTATAAGTATTATATTTAACTATAGTAATGCCTTAGATCTACACCCCCTAAGTCTGCTAGACAATGTGTTTAATTGCAGCAGGACTAGGGTAACTAAGTTGCTTGTGCTACTATATTACTAAGGCCTTCTATAGTCCTCTCTTAGTGCGTGTAGTAATTTTATATGTGTAGTTAGTAGCTAGTAGGGATAGTTTATACTTAAGTACCTACTAGCTAAGCATTTCTAATACTACTCTAATTACTTAGCTATTTGCTTGTTAGAGAGTTATTAGGTCTACTTATATATCCTACTACATGCCTCTATTTTATAGTAGGTAGAAGGACACTAGGTTGCATAGCAGGTCTGGGCAAATTGCTATATCTGTAAGGGTGACCTTAGTTGTCCTAGCTCTACTCCTTAGGAGTAGATTAATTAATCTATATCCTCTAACTAGCACCTTAGAATTCCTAGCCTATATAAAGTCTCTAGGCAATAGCTGTTAGAACCTATAAACGTGGTTAGGGTTGTTAGTAATATAATAGGTAGAACCTAAGTTAAGTATAAATAACTTCTATAGTAGATAGTTAGTAGTAACCTATTAGTTTACTGCGCTAAGTACTACTTTAATATTAGTAATTTCTTAGCCTTCTAGTTAATTATCTAGGATTTCTAGAGTAGGGGTGTGTAAGTACTTTACTACTAGTATTCTTAATTAGCTCTTACTTTGTACGTAAAGTAGCCCTTAAAAGGTAATATCTTTCTTATACTTAAACTTAATAAGTTTAGAAATAATCTTATTTAGTTTCTACTACTTAGGAGCTCTGTCTTAATTAATATAGTAGCAATCCTATATAGAGTAGTGTTGTCTATATACAGGGCATTTTGCTCCCCTAGTAGAAGCAGGCTCTTAATCTAAAGGCTGCTTAAGTATAGTAGTTTTCCTACCTACTATATATTAATATTAAGGTCTGCCCTAGTTAGATAGTGTGCTTATAGCATGTTAGGTGTCCCCTTTATAGCTCTAGGAGGCTACACCCCCTTTAGCAAGAAACACTGCATTGTTAGCTATAAAGGCCTTATACCACCCTAATCTAAGGGGATAATTTATTATTATGTACTCTTAGTAGTGTTTTATTATCTCCTTCTAACTTATACTAGATTTAAAGTGTCTGCTATCTTAAAAGCTTGTAGCCTATATAGGCGTGACCCTGTTTACAGCTATTAGGAAGTCCTTTGTTATTATATTTAATTATAATAATTTAGCAACTTTATACGTCTCTGCTTCTATAGCTACCTAGTTATACTTAGCTAGCTAGGTATCCTATTGTGACGTGCTTCTTATTAGCTTAAGTGCTAAGAGGTATCTGTCTTAGGCTTATTCTTATTTAATTTATTTATTAAACCTAATAGTAAGTTGTAGGTCTATAATCTACTATTGTAGTAGTTTCTTAGGAAGACAGCATGTGCGTAGTAGATATAGCAACACAGTTAACTAGATAAATATAATAATATACTAAAGGCTTGCTTCCTCCTTCTTATATTTATATTAATTATTCTTATATTATTTAAGGAGTACTTTATAATACTTAAGGTCTTCCTTAAATGCCTTCTAGCCTGTTATTAATAGCTTAGTTAGCCTTAATAGTATGTTAGTGTTTATAGCTAGCGTGTAGTTAGTAATAGTTAGAGCCCTTAGTAAGAGTAGCTTTAATAGTAGTAGTGTAGTTGTCTTTAGGTTAATCTTGTCCTAGATGTTGCGCAACAGGCATCT